TGTGTGTGTGTGTGTGTGTGTGTGTGTGTGTGTGTGTGTGTGTGTGTGTGTACCCAGTAGAGGACTTCTGTCCAACCCTCCATGGTGATGCACTGGAAAACTGTGAGCATGGCAAAGAAAATGTTGTCAAAGTTTGTGATCCCACCGTTGGGACCCTCCCACTTTCCTCTGCACTCCGTTCCATTGTCCACACACAAGCGCCCGACACCGGCGAAAGCACAAGGAGACGGGTCGTCCTCCACCATGAGACCTGCAGCGGGAGCCAATAAGAGGCAAGGACTGAGTGACCGACACATTCAGGTAAAGTGAAAAGCGTCGGGTCAAGTTAGAAGCTGAGACCTGTGCTCATGTCGAAGCACGACTTGTGCATCCTGCCGATGAACAGCTCCAGGCCGATGATGGCGTAGATGATGATGACGAACATCACAAGCATTCCAATGTGGAGGAGAGGGACCATGGCCTTCATGATGGAGTTCAACACAATCTGTAAACCTGATAGAGAAAACACACATGTTCATATTTATAGATCACACATAAAACACACAAAACAAAGTGAAATACGTAAAGAACACACTTGGGACTCCAGACACAAGTCGAAGTGGTCGCAGCACCCTGAACGCTCTGAGAGCTTTTACATCCAGACCTCCAGGTTTCCCTGCAGCATGATGAGCCTCTCCTGGCTTATGATCAGTCATTCCCTCTGCTATCACACTGAACAACCTGCCCACAAAAATGAATACAAACTCTAACATGTGACTAATAACAGAAGATTTGTTGTTGGAAACTGTGTGACGCAGCCATTTACCCAACAATGACGATGATGAAATCAAGCAAGTTCCATCCGCTGCGTATGTAGGCGCTGGGGTGCATGACTAAACCATAGGCAAGAATTTTGGTGAAGGTCTCGATAGTGAAGATGACCAGGAAGACATACTCAACTTGTTCCTGACAACGAAAGAAAACTTAAAAGTGAGAAAAATAATTTAGGACTGACCTTTCATAGCGTCACAGTTGACATTTAGAGACTATTGTTACTATTTATCACACATGGTTACTGAGTTATTTGGGCCAGGAGAGAAGGAATTTGTCAGATCATTAGGAGCTGAAGATAATGGTTCTTAACCTCTTAACCTACAACCCAACACACGCACGAGTTCATTCCCAGATCATGGTTCTGTAACCCACAGGGTAATCTGYTAATCATGGTCACTTAACCTCAGGATGGCATCATAATCCAGAACTGGTTAGTATAAGAGGACTGTTTGACTTTTGGGCTAGTTCAGAAGAATTCATCAAAATCTGACCCACAACTGATGAGAGGAGGCGTTGAGTCCCTTCAACAGACCTTATATGATCAGCATGGCTCCGCTGTGAAATCCAATAAAGGGATCTTCAAACATTTATCCTATAGAGGGTGTGTGTGTGTGTGTGGG